TCTGAGCAACCGGATATTTGACAAAACGTATAGCTTTGCAATTAAGTTAAAGCAATGGAATCTTTTTGTACAGTATCCTCTGGAGATGAATAAAAGTTAGTGTTAATGCAGCTTTGTAGGATTAAAAAGAGGTCAGGAATAATTTGCATATTGTGACATGTTAAACAATGCAGATCCCCAAAAATAGACATTTTAAAAGCTGAACCTAAAATCAGAAATGGCTGTTTTGAAGGAGCCAAATGGAAGGAACCAGTGTGAAGCCCCTCAATTGTGCTGTTATAACATACTGTCAAATAGACGGAAGCCGGCACTTGACGATGAAGAACAATGAGTATTACAAAGCTTTTGATTTCCACCAGCAACATGCCTATTGAGTTGATCACTTTTACAGAAATTATATTGTACGGTTTTAATGACTAAAGAGGAAGGGACAAGGTGAAGAGGAGACAGAAGAAATCAATATTTTAGAAAAAAAAGGATTTTACTACGTTTTCTGGTCTCTCCTACCGCTTCAAGCTCTTTGACACTGAATGTCATTGTAACACTGTTAAGGACACCCTGAGCACAAGGGGGCCCTTTCCCAGAACCACTCCCATCCCGTTCACCCTACCCTACTAAGCCAACCACGCCCCACCACGGTCAATTCAATTCACACCCATTCATACAGTGATGACAGGAGCAACCACACACAGTGCCACCTTCCCATCAATATCCTTGATACCATTCACACACCGTAGTCAACATTTCTATTTAGTTATTGTGGGGTGAAGTGTCTTGCCTAAGAACACACCAACATGTGGATAAGAAGAGCTGGGGTTCAAAATCACCTTTCAATCTTCGATTGAAGGACAACCACGCTCTCCACTCAACCAAAGTCAGAATCAGTTTGTTCACAGAGCCATTCCCCCCACCACGACATCATGTGACCTGCAATATAACTTGCTGGTACATATCATTGAAACTTTGCTTTTGCCCCAATAATTTTGACATCAGCAAGACAAGTTTGGAACCACAGTGTTAATCTCTTGATCCCCTGGGAGATCCTGAAAGGAGGAAATGAGTGAGAATTGTTCCTGATGATCCAACTTCCTTTTAAAGCTTTTTTTTTTATTTGAACAATAAAGTGGTACCAGATGTGTTAGATATAAAATGAAACAGCTTAAGTATGACTAAATAACTTAATTCTGGTCATTGTCAGAATTATTAATTAAACTGTAAATCAAAACAAAAATGTCAGGTTATCCACACATACATACATCTTTTTTTGTATGTCCACCGTTGTTTTTGTATTTTTCCATTACTTTGACAAGATATCCTATTTTGCATTTGCTCGCCAGTTGGGATACTGGTAAGCGGACCAGAGCCTTCTCTCAACTCCCTACAAAGACTATTGTTGACCGCATCTCTTTCTTTGCACTCTCGCTCACTCTCTCTCTACCAGCCCTGGTGGATTCTGGAACAGAACAAATTTCATGGACACAGAATTTTTAGCTAGAGTCCAGATTCCTCTGGAGACATTAGAGTGTCTGTCAATGGTCAATGCTCTTGATGGCAGCTTCCTGGCTAGAATCACCCACCGGACCCAACCACTGCAGCTCATCCTGTCTGGTAACCACAGTGAGAGACTTCAGTTTCACGTTTTTCCGTCTCCTCAAAACCCCCTAGTTCTGGGGCCACCCTTGGCTGGCCTCTGATAACCCTCAAAATGACTGTGCGGTGGGGATGATTGAACCTTTGTTTGGAGCTACGATCTTCACTAAGCTTGATCTCCGCAATGCCTACCACTTGGTGCGAATCCGTACAGGGGATGAATGAAAAACAGGGTCCAATACCCCCCTCGGCCACTTTGAGTGCTTAGTCATGACTAACCAACGCCCCCCGCTGTATTCGGTGTTGGTAAGCGAGTTTTTTTTTACCGTTTTTGTGTTTGTGTATTTAGATGACATCCTCATCTATTCGGTAGATCTGCAACAGCATCAGCGCCATCTCCGCGTGGAGAATAAGCTGTATGTAAAGGCAGAGAAGTCCGAGTTCCATGTGACCTCTGTTCAGTTTCTGGGGTTCATCATCGAGAGGGGTGATGAAGACCCGTCCAAGACCATGTTCTTATGGATACCAGAGGCTGAACGGACATTTCATTTAGTAGCCATGCAGCTACCAAGCCAATACACCATGCACCACGCGTAACCCACAGAAAGGAGTCCAAATTAACAATTTTCTTTGCAACATGATTTCTGAACTAACACAGGTGGTGGCTTCTGTAACAGCATTGCTTCGCGCAACGATAATAGAGGAGGGTCATCTTCAAATGGACCGTCTTGAGGTGAAGGTGGGCTGTGACCAATAAGAAAGATGATTCAATCTGCTGGTCGTCGGTACAGATAACTGTTGGCGTCAAAAATGTAACAATTACCTGATTTGAATGGAGTCCTAAAACAAAAACACTCCCAGAAATGACAACTCCCAGAAATGACTTAATTGTGGCAGATACCTGTCAAACACAAAGTAGCAAAGCTTATCCTTTGTCTTCCATTTACATGTGTATGGGTCTGCAAGAAGACCATAAACTAGCCATTTTATTTTCTTTGCAAGCCATGGTGACGGGGTATTCACAAAAATGTGTCTTGAACAAGATTTACACTCACAGTAGTTTAACAGGCCCATATTCATGCAACTTGGTGTGACCAAGCATTCGGTTAGGGAAGCTAGTGCTTTAAGTGATTGGTCACTGAACATATAAAATGGAAGGAAATCAAATCTAACAACAGCATTGATGGTCGTGGCCTATGTGGAGGTGATTGGTGCAGAGTTTAAATGTAGAAGTCAGCGGTGCACGCTACAGCAGCTCTGTGATTAATACCGCTGACAAAGCAGTGACTAATGATTGATTGAGGATGCTTGGATTTTAAAAACCATTTCCCCTCCACCTACTCCGCCTTTTTACAAAGCCGTCTGATATTTTGATCACTGACAAGGGCCATGCCAGTGGAATGAATCACTAATTTCAAGCTGCAACCATCTCATTTGCAGGATTTTGAATGATGGTTTCAGATTCACCTGATGCCATCGGAGCTTCGGGGGAAATCCTGGGGGGAGGAAGTGGATGAACACTGGTCCCAGTGGGTCCCACTTCTTTTAGAGCTGCTAAGTGAGGTTTTCTTCAACAGTAAAATGGTACGAGATGTAGGAGAGACTGGATACATGACACAGCTCCATTACTGTGTGCCAATGCCCAAGCTGCTCCAAACACTGTTTGAAGGTACACCTGCAGAATGTAGGCTCTGTAATTACTATATCTCTCATAATACCAATACATATGTCATACATGTTATGATTCTGAATGATGTATATATAAACACCTGCAAAGGAAATCAAAGGTACAAAATCACCAGACTATTACCTTGAATGATTATCTTTCAAACGATTTGTAATAAACACAATATACATTTATAAGAGAACAAAGAATGACAAATTAAGAATATTTTTTTGTAAGATATCCTATGATAAGATGTCCTTCTGTGCAAAGATTTGTGGTAATGCCCTTAACAACTGGACTAAAAACATTCATAAAATGTGAAAACATTCTTCAGGACAATATGTGTCGCTTATGTGCTCTGCTGTAAGGATTGGTTAAATTTAGGCGACCAATAGAAAATGATTAAAATTAGGGAAAGCTATTTACCACTTCTAAAATATGTTTAAATGGCCTGCTGTCATTAATATTCATTCTGTCTGGTATTGTTGTATTATGCATAAATTAGGAGTTTGTCACTCATACTGTAAGCATGCATTCCATGTGTGTGTGACACAGAGAGAAGGAGATTAGATGCATCATAAAACAGGTTAAGCTACCCCAAGTTGTGTCTTTATTTTGCTGTTTATCCATACACATATAGAGTGATTTTAAACAACCAGCCCCTGCTGCAGTCATTTTCCTATGTTTAACTCCATTCCCACACACACGCACCCAAACATATGCATGCACACAAAATATATGTGTCCGTCAAAGAAATCTCCACTCGTATCCAGCAAGAGAAACATGGCTCAACATTTACAGCCTAATGCATTATGCAGCAGGAGCTTTTAAAAAGAGATGATTGGAGAATTCCCATCTGAAACGCAGCTGCAACATCAAAGTGTGAGTGGGAAGCAAATTAAACGGTACAGAAAAAAATAACGGTAGACTTGATGTCTTTCCTAATTGGGTTCTCTGGCATTCGGGTCAAAAAGGGCTTTCGCCAGGCGGGGCCTTGGAGGTGCTGCTCTGTTTTGTTAGAGGTGCTGCTCTGCGGCATGTCATGCAAATAACGTGTTGCGCTCGTGGAAATTTCACTCTTTCGACTCACTGAGTATGCACGCTCGCGCCCCAGCATGCAGTGCACTGTTTGACACTCGGTGGGGCCTAAATGAGTTTCATGAAGAGAAGAAGCCACGTGTGAGTGTCAGGTAATGCTGTGACTGAACACCCCCCCCCCCCCCCCCCCAAAAAGGCGTCGTTGGCTGCTGCCATGTGTTTTTGACAAACACTAGAGGGCTCTCTCTCGTGGATGGCAGCGCTGGGGCCCCCTCTGCTGCCACTCACACGCTCACACTCCCACCCAGCCCCGCAATGACGAGCGTGACCTTTTCACTAACTGTCTTTAATAACAGCAGCGCAACACTCTCCCTGCTCCCTTGTCTTTTAATAACGCGGGATTTAGTTTTTCATGCGCAGACACGTTCATGTGTCAGGAACACAAATAAACTAAACCGCAGAAATGTCACTTTAGAGGGACGGGGACAAAATGCTGATTACCCACAGGGCTACGCGTCCAATGCGCGCGTCCATCTGTGCATTGCTTAAGTGACAGTGTAAATGAGCAGCCTCGGTTCCATTTCACTAATCTCCATACACCATTCCCCTAATAGCCGAGAGAATTGAGGGTCAACTCACGCGTCAAAGCTAGTTAGAAGAATATAGAGAAGAACGCACTAATGAGAGCATAGTTACCTGCACACACCTTTTGTAACAGCTACAGCTATACAGCGTTACTGGCGATTGGAGACGGCAACCTTTGCGCGTCGGTGGCTGGGCAGAGCTGCACGCATTCATTTGTGCGCCTGTTGACCCGGCTCCTCATCAACCCAATGAGCGCCGTGAAGGGGAGGCTCTCATCGCCTCCGCGCGTCTCTCCTCCATCTCCTCCTCACTTTTACAGTCGGCCGGCGAGCCTGTCGGAGCTCTCAACTAGAGAACCCCGGCACTGTCACTCCGCCTTGACAAACTGCAGGACGGATTTCCAGCCTCTCCGCGGCTCTTTTGCTTTCTGTTGGTCGTTTTCCGCCCGCCTCTAGATAAACGCATTGGACTTGCTTTTCGTTTTTTTTGGTGCCTATTTTTTTTGGAGGAACGGTGAAACGATGCAGCAGCGGGGAAGGATGCAAGTCTCACCGGTAAGTACGCCCGCCACAGCGATGTGCTGGAAACCTAACAGGTATTACTGGTTTGCGTTGGAGGGGTTTTAACAGGACTTCTCCGAGGCGTGGATGCAATGCATTTCTCTCCCAGGCACGGAGCAAGTCTGCAGGAAGGTCTGCAACTTAGGTTTCTTCTTTATTCTCACCCCCCCCTCGCCAGTCAGAAGTCGCGCACCCGCCGCCTCTATGTGGTTCGTTTCCCGGTAATCGGAGTGCCGGTGCGCTCCAGTGCCCCATTTGATGCGCTGTGGGACGGGCTGATTGGAAGCGATGTCTCCTCAAAGGATACAACTTCAGACAGAGGGTGAATTCGGGTGATTCCGGGTACGTGCCGCAGACTGGCGCAGGGGAAATTAAAAGGCAAGTAGTTGGAACTTTGTCGGGTGATGAGACGTTGGGGGAAAAACCAACGCATCGCGCCTGCCGATGGAGGACCTTGGACAGCTCCGCCGCTGCCGGGCGCTCGGTCCGCGGCCGAGCGGCTGCTTTCTGGCGGGAGGCTGTCCGACCCCCGCGGTCCTGAAAGCGCCCGCTTAGCCACGCGCCGCCTCGACCAGAAACTCAAAAAGAAAGACGGAAAATGAATATTGATAATAGATAGATCTAGAATTTAGAATTTTATTAGACGGATATTTTCTTTATATTCTTCTTTAAAAAAGGACACAATGCGCCTCTTTCGCTCTTCGGATTAGTTGGGCAACGTCACAGTAACTTGGATCGTTCCGCACGTTGTGATACCGCAGTTGGCTTCAGGTGGAACACGGCACAGCTGACTGTCACTGCGTGCGCGGAAGCGCGCAGCAAAAGGACCACAGCAGGAGTAAAAGTTAGCAGAACTAACACGCAGCATTTCCACCTGCACTAGTTGTAGCCGAGGACAGCTCAAAGAAAACCCTGTGCTTTTTTTTTTCCTCCTGTGGTTTGGCATTCTGGAGAACAATGAGCACCAGTGTCTTTTACACGGAAGAGACTGAGCTGATTAAACGAACGTTAACGCAAAAACTGCTTTTAATCGTCGAGGCATTTACACGATTTTCAATGCAGTTGTTTCAATCTGTTGTATGCCTTAAGTCATTTTATTAGTCATATTGTGTTAAAAAAAGTTAACGTCAATGTTGATTAGAAAAACGGCTGTAATATCACACATTTCGCTCAACGATTGAACACCTCCTCTAAATACCCTCACAATCATCTCATCTGGATTACTGTTTTATCAGTGAATGTCAGCGCCGTTGACATTGCTCCTCTGCAGCCACTCTCTGTATCTGGAGCTTCCACTATTGCCTGCGTGCACCGGTGTTTGAGGAATCTGATTGCCGCCCGTAACACCGTTTCAAACAAAATGTGTTGTGAAAGCATTAATCACAAGGAACATGTAATTGCTCAAAATCTTTTCCCGGATAATCCTCAGAAAAACAGATTAAAGCAAGGCAATCTGATGTGGTGGGCTGGATAGCCTCAGAGCACAGACATACCCATTTGTTGTCCGCTTGTAGCGGCAAAATATGACAACAAGATTGGAACGAAGGGTCGTGTCTGCTGAAGAAAGATCAGTTGCAATGAATAATTGTCCTGTTTTTGTAAATCCTTTTTTAAAATACAGAAATACGCCTGTTACGTTCTCTCTTTCACATTTGCTCACTCATTTGATTTGTTAAAATGTCTCTTCTCTCATATTCCTACCTCCCCTTTTGTCCCCCACCTCTTCCCAACACAACTCCTCACACAACTAAAAGACGGCTAACAATCAACTCTGATTGCTCCCTTTTAGGTCTCCCCCTCGGAATAACGGCCAAAGGGATGCTGCGCTGCGCTCCTCAACCCCTCACCAACTGCGATGGAGGCATGCCAAGCCGTGCAAGTGACCTTTATTGCACCATGAATGCAAGCTCCGCCGCTCAAAGAGGACACAAGTAACCTTTTCCTTATTATCGAAGAAGGAGCCGTCGATCTGAAGCGAAGAGTTGGGAACTAGAGACCAAGACAGAGAGACAGAGAGAGAGAAGACTCTCATCAAACAAACAGACAAACCAACTAACAAAACAACCCAAACACACAAGGACAGAATGCCAAAGCGGTCCGAGGAGATGCTGGTGGATCTGTGGATGTCCTTGCTACTGGTGTGGATTACGTGTGTTCCTTGTGTGTCCATGACTCCCATCGTAGGCCAGTCCAAAAGCACACAAACTGGTGGGTCCGCAGCGGAAGCGAGCGGTCCTGCCGAAGGACAAAGATTACTGAGCCGCGCCAAGAGAGGATGGGTTTGGAATCAAATGTTTGTGCTGGAGGAATTTTCTGGACCCGATCCAATTCTGGTTGGCAGGGTGAGTGCTGCAATTGTCAGCGTTATATTAAGCTCGCTTATCGTGTGGAAACATTAATTCGGCCATTTGAATGCTCCCTCCGTTTTTTTTTTTACTTCCCATGGGCAGTGTGGGGGTTTTGTTTGTCGAGGGGGAGCAGAGATATGGGGACAAGAGAGACGGACCCGTCTGAGGGGAGGGAAGCCCTTTTGAAATGCTTTTGGAAATAATTAAACTCTCATCAAATAACGGTGGCAACATTTTCTGCTGTATTGGTTGTCCTTGAAATACAAGAAACTATGTGGCAGTCACACAGAATGTAACTTTTTTATATCTCAATTTCTTTTCCAAACAACACACAGATGCTGTTTAGAATCATTGAAAAAAAAGATATACAAATTTTGCCATACATATATATTTCTTTTTCTTGGTTAAATTAGATCTGTGCATTACGTAAAAGAGGTCTATTTTTGCCGTGGTTAGTTTATTTGAGAAGTTTATTCTTGCTATATGGTTTGATCATCTCTATGATGAGGCTAATCCCCCGGCTAAGGGCCACCTGCTCCCTGGCCTGAATGGAAGTGTCCGGCTGGTTTTCAGAGGAGGGAAAGGCTGCTGGCCAGAGCGGCCAAAGCAGCTTGTTCACAGCTCATTGCCGGGACTCACCTGGGGAGAATCAGCCTGGCTGCCACGCTCGCTTCCCTCCTCCAGAAAATATATATGGGCCAGCCTCTCTGGCATGGGCAGGAGTGCAGGCCATCTAGTGTATTTGATCTCGTTCTGTAATAGCTTTTGCAAACAGTGTCGTGGTGCTTAATTCGTGGGACTTTCGTTTTGTATGATATATTGCCATTGCAGTGCATTGTGCTCTATAAATATTCTTTTCAACACCCACAGACACGTCACCTGAAAGCACCGAAGCAAAAAAAATACTCCTGCCTGAGAACAATAAGTCACCCGGTCCATTTAAATACTTTTTGTTGTGTTGTTTTTTTTTCTGTCTAATTCTTCTATCGCCATCATTGTCATATGGCTGCATCAATTAAATATTTGCCACCATGTGGGATTTGCACCTGTTTTCTCTAAATACCATACGAACACAAAAATGCTGTTAAGTGATGCATTAATTTTTCAGGCCAGTCAATTAGGCAGCCTCTGCTGGATTCGACGAGGGCTGTTCATCAGAACGCCGGAACAAATAAGCGCTCACCGGGGCCGTACGTACCAGAGCTTCGAATTTAAAGGTTAGATCTCAGCTGCCAGATATTGAGCATCAAAGATTTGACATCTCAACCTGGTTATATATTGATGGATATTTTACTTGAAAATGTTTCTTGAAAAAGAAAGCCAAAGAAGAAAAAGATGGACAGGAAGGTGTGATTCATAACTCGGAGCTCACACACTCACAGAATATCACAGAGTGTGCCAGTGGCCCGTGTGAGAAATGCTCCACGGATTGTCAGCCGAGGATTGGAGGCACCGAATCAAGTGTGCATGAAGGATGCTTCCTCTCAAGGCCTCGGCTAATGCTTCGCAGCAAACTTGACTGTTGGACAGGTTAGTCACAGGTATGAGCATCTTTCCGGTGGAAGGACATTCAAGGATCAGGGGAGGGGAGAGAGGCGGGGGGGAGGGCCTGAGGATGAAGAAGAACTCGACATTGCCTTTCGCGAGGAAATGATGATGATGATGGTGATGGCTTGCTTTCACTGCAAGGTTAAGTGCTCATGACTATGCCTGGCAGAGCTGAGATAAGTCCGACGTTAAACCAAGATGGCACTGGATTGGTTTGAGACTATAAGTCTCTCTCTCTCTCTCTCCCTCCCAATCCCTTTCTATTTGCTTTTCTCCCGCCTAATTAAAAAATGAATCAAACGGGTGGGGAGGTGCGATTCAAATATTCCAGCCCCCCCCTCCCTCTTCTCCGCTGTAGTTGTGGGCCTATGATCGAGGAAGATTGGACTCTTTCCATCCCATAGTTTTTCATGGCCGCTGCACTCTGAGCTTTAATTATACAGCGCGCACGTCCCTGATCTTCTGCCTGCGACCGCGGCTCCCCTCAGCCACCCCAACGCGGTGAGAGATAGTGTTTGGAGAGAGGGGCAGGGAGAGATTGCGCGATCGATTTTTTTTTTTTTTTGTGTCATTCTCGTTGTTCTCTCTCAGCGCAGGCTATTAGCATGAATGCGGGGAAAGCAGGGTGGGGATTTAGAGGCGGGCCGGGTTGTGGAAGAGCGAGGAGGACGACCACGAGGCGTGACAGCGCCCTTCCCTTTCGCTGTTCTTCTCCGGCGAGTCGTTTCTCTTTACATGGTGATTCAGTGAGTGGCGTTCTCGTCAGCCCCCGTCGGTCCCGTTGGCGCCGGGGGAGCAGACATGCAGTACCTGTTAAAGGGAAGCAGTGGAGACAGCTGTGAAAAGATTGTTGCTCAGCTGTAGGCTAAAAGGAACATAGCGTTGGGAGGGATTTTAGGATTACTGGTCGTGCGTCGGGGGGGACGCTTTGGAAATATCCTGCCATTAAATTGAGAATAAGGCAAAGTGAGTGTTGAAGGAGGATTGGCGCAAAAGTTTTCGGGGCCGCAGACCGGCTGACTCGCGTTGGCCCGTTGTTGTCGACGAGATCCCACTTCAGCGAGGAAAGACTCTCATGCGGGCGTTTGGAAGACAAGCTGAGGGTACTTTAAGGGGAAGCAGCTCTCGATTTACGATTGCACATCCATGATGAAAAATGGTAAGCCGTGTTTTAAAATAGAATCAACATTCTCTAGCATACCGGGTTGTTGGAAGCCCATTCAAACACAGTACGAGGTATACGCCGTGTTTTCGTGCCATTTTTGCCTCTTCAATCAAAGCCGCTTTAATTATTTAAACCTATAAATAAGCCGCTCATTTACACCAGGCCATTAAAGGCAAAACATTGCCTCTGAACCAAAAAGACAAACACTGAACAATTTGCTGTGTTTGCACCAAAGCAGATTGATGGCAGTTTGTGTTGCTTACACGTCAGACACAACTTTCCTTTCACTTGCCGAGGATAATTTAGAATATTGCGCGTGAAGATTGATAATGATAGATTCCAGTCGGGGCAATTGTAGTGCAGATGTGGTAAATTAACTAATCCCTCATCTTATTGTCATAAGCTGTTATCCACCACAGTATTGAACGTGTTTTTTTGCACTATAGAGAATTAATAATCAACCATTAATATTTATCTATTCAGGCTGAACTGCAAGACAGACGTGATACAAAAAGGGAGAAAAAGGGCTCTGATTGTTGATTCAGTAAAGAAAATGGATGTTTGTAAGAAAGGACATGTCTTTGTCTCTGTGAGTACTGGTGGAAAAAAACACAGGTTTCATTCCTCTAAACAAGCTGTTTGACAGGAATCCCAACAAGATGAGCCACAGTACAGATTGATGGTAAAAGATGTCTGAAAAGGCAGAGGTGATATTATGTAATATGTCCGTTAAGCTCCCCCCTCAAAATTGACGACCCCTCCCCAGTAATCCGAAATTTACACAAATGTACCCTCTAAAAAATGGGTAATATTCTCCTCATATCACGTGCACGCATTAACCTACTGATTGTGCATTAGCTTAGCACAAGCTGGCTGGAGTTGGCGGTGTGGTCGGGTCAATGTTACATAGCGGAGCAGAGTGCTTTCTTCAGACTGTGCCCAATTAAAGGACAGAGAATCATGGTTAAGACATCGTAATCATAGGTAGAGTACTCAACAGTTAGGGTTATAATCTCCGAGCCTTCGTTCTTCCCTGTGAGAGTTTCTTTCATGTGGTAACCGTCCACAGCTTGCAAACGTTGGCTCACAGCTTTCCTCCGAGCAGGTGCCCTCAATATGAATTCACTCGTTTACTAAATGGTGTATCCGGATTTGTTCCTTCGGTGGTTTTCTGCTCTTTGGAATGCTAATGTGGGAGATGAGTTCCTGTCTCTGTCCTCCACCTCTTTTTCTCTCCCAGTGTGACTGGGTGGTCATGTAGAGAGTGACTCTTGAGCCCGGGTGAGCCTCCAGTGCCAGAAGGGTGCGGCACAACGTTATTGTTAACATCTAGTGTCTCGCTACGGCAATGCGGCGGGCGCGAGTCAAAGCTGAGGCTGGATTGACTCCTACGGGCAACCTGGAGACTCCCCGGTGCTACCGGAGGCCCCGCTGATGCTGGTTTTTAAGCGGACCGAAGGCACTATGTGCCCCCCCCCTCCGATTAGCGAAGATATCAAACCTCAATCTGCATTCATTCTGGCTCCAAGAGTTGAGCGGATGTCTGTCTGCCTTTGATTGATGGACGAGGACTGAAAAGTTAACGAGAATATTAGCAGAATTTTTGCAGGTGATTGATAGCCATTATGACACATATATTATAAGCATTGGCTCGGATATAATATATTCCATAATATGGACCAAATTAGACACAGGTTCCAGTGTCATAGTGGGGGCAGATTGAAAAAAAAGAAGCTGTCATCAATTTCAGGAATAGAAAGCCCCGTCGATGTTTGTTGGACTTTCATGCCATTTAGTTTCTCACACCTACAACAGCTCCAGGAATACGGCTCTGTAATCTCTCTTCAGGCCCGACCACAAAGATCCGTATTGAGCTGCAGTGTAGCAGCAGCTCCTCTGTCTCTCAGCTCTTAGATCTCCATCCCTTCCCTCTTGTGTAATTTAGAAAAAAAGGGAGAAAAAAGCATGCTTACATCCCTCAGTCCTCTGCTTCTACCCGCGTTCCGGCTCTCTTACCGGCTCCCCTCTCTCCCCGAGGCTCACCTGTACAGTATATCACTAATGCCGGCAGGGCCATTATATCAATGGGTCCATGGTCACAGTCTCCCTCTTCCTTTCCAATCTCTACCTCTGTCTGTCCCTCCCGGTCTGTAATAAAACACTGGGGCCAGCGGTGGCTCTGATGGAGCTGTGGGATCACATTAGTGCTGCCCTCCAAGAGCTTGACAGGTTGTCTATGACTCTGTTGCCATCCGGATTCCCATTAACAAGCTGCGTACGT